CGTATTTTCCAAAAACTTATATTTTAAGTCTTTCTCTCATTCCATAAATTGTGATATTTAATTCCTTTTGTTGACTTTTTCGTTAGCAACACTTTGTAAGGTACGTTTATTTATACATACTGCATGAAGGCAAACCTATATATTGCAAATTTTTATACTATTTGTATCTATTTTCTGAGAATCAAATTACATTGAGACAAATCCTCCTCCTCCTTAATAAGCGGACAGGAAAGATTAAAACCTTGTCTAAAATTTCCTTCCATAATAGTGGGTTATCTGTAAACCTCAAAAAGTCTTCTTCATTATGACGAACCAAAAGATTCCAGCTAGTAGTAACCTCTGTATTATCAGGAAAATAAAATTATTTAATTTTCTGCTTGCATTCTGCAAAGTGAAATATTTAATTAAGTAGATATTTACAGGGATCTGTAGTATATATATATATTTATGATATTTTACAGTTAACAGTTACAGAGCTCATTCACTTGAAAATTTTACTATGCTAGTGCTTACCGATTCAGAACTAGTACCCTCAAGAGCTTAGACCTTTTGAAGCATTTTTTCCCCTGGGAGATACGTACGAGTGCCTAAGGAAGGTTAACCAGGTGTTTATCCAGTGGGTAACGGATGGTGGGAGTACTCAGTGGTCAGTCGTCACGTGAGGTCACAGACCCTGAGCTGCCTTGGGGACTAGTGTGGACGGTTACAAAGCATGGCTTGCTTCTGCAGTGTTTTAAAAATTGGGGTTGGAGAGTTGAAGGAGGAGGTCTTGCTTCTCCAGGAGGAGATTAGGAGGCTGAAGGTCCACCTCAATGGGTCTGGGAGAGAGTGTGAGGTGGCTGGAGTTGTGGGGAATGAGGCTTCTAGCAGCGAGGTGCAGTCTGTCTCTCGCTGTGAGGAGGCTGTATTTGGGGGTGGCAGCAACGGCTACCAGCAGTGAGGTGCAGCCCACACCTGCTACAAGTGGCGAGTAGTTCACAGTAATGGAAGGGGGCTCAGAGAAAGGGAAAAAGTTAAGATGAAGATCTGAAGGTAGGAAAATCGCTTCTCTGTTCTTCAGGATGAATGTACTTCAGTGGCCAGTGAAGGTAAGGGTACTACTGCCCCTGCTAATGGAGGTAAGCGCATTCTTGTGGTTTTGGTGACTCTCAGGTAAGATACATTGACCGTCCCTTTTTGTAAATAGGAATAAGAAGATGAGAGATAGAGTGTGTTTCCCCCTGGAGCTGGTTTGGGGACATTGTCAACAGGCTGGATAATATCATGTCAGGTAATGGGAGCAAGCCCATTATCTGTCTCAGTGCTGGTGGAAATGATATTGGGAAGGGTAGGAGAGAAGAGCTGCTAGATAAGTACAGGTCAGCTATAGATTTCATTAAGTCTAAGGGAGGGATCCAATCAAAATAGCATCTTGCCTAGAAGGGGAGTAGGAAAATGAAGGGTTTTTGTCTAGGGCAATTGGTGTAAATTGCTGGCTAGACAGATACTGCAAGGAACATGCAACCCCATTCTTTGACAACTGGAACAACTTTTATGGCAAACATGATATGTAGCAAGGGATGGGGTACATCTCTCTGGGGCTGGGGTGGTAGCACTTGCAGACTCGATTGAGAAGGCCATTGGTGAAATGCCTATGATTTTAAACTGATGGAAGATATAGGTATGGGTGTGTGTGGGAAACAAGCAGGTTGCAACACTTGGGTTGGAAACAGTAAATGTATAAAAGGCATTCAGCATGAAGTTATAAATAAAGACCCAAAAGATCAGGTCAGCAAACAAAGGGGGACAGCAGAGGGCAGCAAGGGACTAGCTCCCTTAAGGTTTACTATACTAATGCAGGGGTGTAAGAAATAAGATAGATGAGCTAAGATTAATTGCAAGTGCAGGAGACATAGATATATTGCTTATAACAGAGACCTGGCTCAATCTGAAAGATAGAGAGATGCCCTCTGAATGTCACATACAAGGCTATAAATTATTCACCCCTGACAGGGTCAACAGGGAAAAGGTGGTGGAAAGTAGCGATGTATGTCAGAACAATTTAAAATTGTTGTGTTAGACAAGATATTAAATTAGAAGCGTCAGCCACTGAATCTGTTTGTTACAGCTTCTCGAGGGCCGAGAAAAACTAATTTTGGGTGTGATTTACAGGGCCCCAAATCTTGATAGGGAGGCAGGTAAACTTCTTATGGGGCGAAATTCGTAAGGCATCACAACGAAAATGTTGTGCTAATGGGAGATTTCAACTATAGACAGATTGACTGGAGCAATTTGACAGGAAATTTAGAGTCAGGTGACTTTCTTGATACATCCAGGATTGTTTTTTTAAAACAGTTTGTGACAGAGCCAACTAGGGGAAATAACCTCCTTGACTTGGTTCTTGCCAGTAGGGAAACACTAATTAATAATCTTGAGGTTAATGATGAGCTTGGGGAAAGTGATCACAAATCACTCAGTTTTAATATATCATGGAATTCCCCTAATAATGGCAATCAAGTCTCCGTCCCCGACTTTCGCTTGGCTGATTTCATAGGACTGAAAAATTACTTAGGTGGGCTGAACTGGAATGACCTGACTAAGGGTCAGGTAGGTGGTGATGGTTTGCCGATATGATGCTTTCCAGGGCATAGTTCTAGCTGCTCATTTAAATTATGTTCCAAATAGGGAAATCAGATCCCAAACAAAAAAGATCCTAAATGGATGAACAATAGATTAAAATATCTGATTGGTCAAAAGAGAGGCATATATAGGCAAATCAAAAGAGGAGAGGGGCAATTGAGAAATCGATATATTCAGTTAAGAGAGAAATAAAAAAGGGGAAATTTGAAAAGCAAAAAAAGAAATTTTGAGGTTAAAGTTGCAGAGAATCGAAGACTAACCCAAAAGGATTCTTTCAGGTATACAGAAGTAAGATCAGGGACAAGATAGGCCCACTCAAAAGTTTCCTCGGGTCAGCTCACTGACAGTGATAAGGAAAAAGTGTAGAATTTTTTAAACACATACTTCCTCTCAGTTTTTTAAAAGGAGGATACCAGCGATATTCCAGTAATGATAAATTAATGTAGAACAGGACGATAATAAACTGTGTACTATTAGGGTCTCAAGTGACATGGTCCTTAGGGAAATAGATAAATTAAAACCTAACAAATCCCCAGGCCCTGATGAACTGTATGCAAGGGTTCTAAAGGAATGTAAAGAGGAGCTTAGCACACCTTTGGCTAATCTTTTCAACATATCACTACAAACTGGCATGGTGCCAATAAGTGGGAAAATGGCAAATGTGATACCTATTTTCAAAACAGTGACAGGTCCTTCGCTTCGAACTATAGGGCCAAATAAGCCTAACCCCATAGTGGGAAAATTTATGGAATCAATAATTGCCGAGGCAGTTCGTAGCCCACCTTTAAAAGCATAAATTAATCAACGAATCTCAGCATGGTTTTACCCAAAAAAGGGGTTCCTGCCTTACGAATTTATTAACTTTTTCACTAAGGTATTTGAGGAGGTAGATCATGGTAATGAATATGATATTGTGTATATGGACTTCAGTAAGGCTTTTGACAGGGTCCCACATCAGAGACTATTGAGGAAAATTAAAGCACATGGAATAGGAGGAGAAATTTTTTCCTGGATAGAGGCATGGTTGACAAATAGGCAGCAGAGAGTTTTCATAAATGGGGGGAAATCAGAGTGGGGAAGTGTCACGAGCGGTGTTCCCAGGGGTCAGTGTTGGCCCCCTGCTGTTCACAATCTACATAAACGACATAGATGAGGGGATAAAGAGCGACATCGGCAAGTTTGCCGATGACACCAAAAATAGGCCGTCGAATTCATTCTGACGAGGACATTCGAGCACTCCAGGAAGATTTGAATAGACTGATGCAGTGGTCGGAGAAGTGGCAGATGCAGTTTAATATAGACAAATGCAAAGTTCTAAATGTTGGACAGGACAATAATCATGCACATATAAACTAAATAATGTAGATCTTAATATTACGGATTGCGAAAAAGATTTAGGAGTTCTGGTTAGCAGTAATCTGAAACCAAGACAACAGTGCATAAGTGTTCGCAATAAAGCTAATAGAATCCTTGGCTTCATATCAAGAAGCATAAATAATAGGAGTCCTCAGGTTGTTCTTCAACTCTATACATCCTTGGTTAGGCCTCATTTAGATTATGCTGCACAGTTTTGGTCACCTTATTACAGAATGGATATAAATTCTCTGGAAAATGTACAAAGGAGGATGACAAAGTTGATCCCATGTATCAGAAACCTTCCTATGAGGATAGACTAAGGGCCCTGAATCTGCACTCTCTAGAAAGACGTAGAATTAGGGGGGATATGATTGAGGTGTATAAATGGAAGACAGGAATAAATAAAGGGATGTAAATAGTGTGCTGAAAATATCTAGCCTAGACAGGACTCGCAGCAATGGTTTTAAGTTGGAAAAATTCAGATTCAGGAAGGATATAGGAAAGTACTGGTTTGGGTTTAATAGAGTTGTGGATGAGTGGAACAAACTCCCAGTACCGTTTTAGAGGCCAGAACCGTTGTGTAGCTTTAAAAATAGGTTGGATAAATACATGAGTGGATGTGGGTGGGTGTGAGTTAGACCTGATAGCTTGTGCTACCAGGTCGGTTGCCGTGTTCCTCCCTTAAAGTCAATGTGACCTGACCTGACTAGGTTGGGTGCATTGGCTTAAGCCGGTAGGAGACTTGGACCTGCCTCGCATGGGCCAGTAGGCCTTCTGCAGTGTTCCTTCGTTCTTATGTTCTTATGTTCTATATAAACTCCAGGGCATCCAGCCTCACTATCAGTATCTTCTGTTCTCAGAAAAGCACACTCCATAACCATGGCAAGTATTCAAATCCACGATTCTTTCGTATCGTGATGTATGTTTATCAAACCCGTGTACTTAATTATTGGATCATATATTACAAAATTACTGATTCTTTATTTTTAAATTGATCATGCTAACACTGAGTCTTTGTGACTGCAGCGTTTCCTATCCATCCTGATGGTGTTGGCTGTGGTGGTGGCCGTCGCCTATGGTGGTTATATCCGTAGATATGGAGGGTTTGGTGAGTTAGATTTTTAATTTATCCTTGTTAAAGAGAAGTTATAATAATCGTATGTCAGTTCTCTGCAAGTTTCGGAATGTAATGATAAGTTATTTATGTATGCACTTATTGCCAAAATAAGGACTCGTGATGGACTTTTTCATTGTACAATGTATGTTGTTAAATAGTGGAAAATACTTTCTCAGGAAGAGACCTTTTATTAATGTTACGAGTCTAACCTAAAAATTGTTTTATGAAGTTCTTGATGAAGTTTCTTGTAGGCGAAATAGTATAATAAAAGTAAATAAAGGTCATCGATACGCTTCAATTTTATCCAATATTTGAATGGGCCATACTTCGTCTATTTGTTGATGTTTCTTTAAACAAAAAAATGTATTCTCTACTCAAAAATAAATGATGAACGACATAATATGAACTAATCTCTTTCAAAGAACCGAAATTGTTTTTATACAATGAAGCTTTTACATTAGTTTCATTGTCACTGAAACCAACTAGAGAAGCTAAACTGTGATCTAAATCAAAAGATTTACATTTTCTCATATGCATCAACAGGCGGAGGATTCGGTGGATTGGGTCTAGGCCATGGTGGATTTGGTGGCGGGTTTGGTGGATTTGGTGGCGGCCTTGGTGGATTTGGTGGCGGCCTTGGTGGATTTGGTAGATACGGTGGTCTGTATGGTAAGTAACATGAATTTTATTATATATACAAAATTTTCATTATTCCGCCATATATAAGGATTACCACTATAATGGAAGAGTATCTGTAGGAAGATAAATTTCTATAATTTGTAATACCAATAAGTGCATGTTTTGCTAACTTTAAATATTAACGCTGATGTTTACCTACAGGTTAGTGATATTAGCAGCACGTCTTCTGACGGACTCCTGGCCACGCTTATATCCCCTTGTTGAATACTAGAAATAAATAATTCAGAAAATAACTTAGTATCTATTCATTTCCAATAGTTTCAAAATATATATATACTCCGAGAGGTGTATTTCCCTCAGCGAAGAAAAGCTGAGAATATATTTGATACCTATTTTAGGAACTGAGTTTGCTTGTCTGGTGATGAAAAGGTTTCGTGCAACCTTAGTGTAGTCGATAGACTTTAAATCACCGTTAACCAGACTATTATTTTTAGATAGTATTATAAGTTTAAATGCTATCGGCTGCACGAGGATCACTTGTTAAGGATATTTAAATGTCATAAACAAGAATTAATGTAATATTTCCTTTTATATTCACTGAGATAAAGAAGCTTCTTCACAAAATGTACTTAATGACGTGTGTTACATAATGTTCTTAATGACGTGTGTTACATAATGTTCTTAATGACGTGTGATACATAATGTTCTTAATGACGTGTGTTACATAATGTGCTTTCAACAACGATGTTTGATACATGATTCGCTCACCACAACAGTGTGCAGTACGCAATATGTTTACCACAATGGTGTGTGATATATAATGTGGTTAAAACAATATTGTGTGATTCATAGAGTGCTCACCACAACTGTGTGTTGTACATATGGTTTCAGCAACAGTGCGTGGCATACAATGGGTTTACTGCACCGGTGTGTAGTACTGCATAATATAACCACAACGGTGCAGCTTGCGCAGTTTGCCTACTCATTTAAGATTTTGGGCTTTACCTCCAAGAAACTAATGGGATAGCAAAGAAGGGTTCTATTGAATCAAGGTATAGAAACAGAACCGCTTCACAATCTGCATAGGAAGAGGTTCTATTTGAGTGAGCCTTGAAATGGGAATAGGCGAAGAAAAGCAATCGAAAGAGCCTGAGCTTAACCCAGCTTCTGAGTGGGTAAGAGTATATTGTGTATAGGCAGACAGGTAGCTTATAGGGACATGAGTTCAGCAGGAAGTCGTCATAGTGTCAAAGTCGGCAGTTTGGGTGATGGTTATCCTAATTTTGAATACTGATATATATAGTAGCTGGCGTATATGTTTGTACAAAGTTGTTGAAATGATCGTTAACGAAGTGATTTCATGAAATCTGACTCTTAGGTTTTGTGAAGAATGTTAGGATGCTGTTAGCGTATTTCACAGTATCATTGTTGTCTGGTGTGGTGTTCTTTTGCGGACATGATGGTATATTTAGGGTTATGCAGAAGGCTAGTTGGTATCGACAGGATCTTGCTCGTTCACTTAAATTTCATCATCAGAGGTGGATGGGGTGATCATTGATGCCTTCTTGCTATGCAGTGATCCTGAACGTAGGATGGTAGTTGCTGTCTACCACCCAGGGAGGTACTACTGTCCTACCAAGTGAGTGTAAAACGAGAGCCTGTAATTGTTTTACATGATGGTAGGATTGCTGGTGTCTTTTGTCTGTCTCATAAACATGCAAGATGGCAGGTACGTCTTGCTACTTCTACTTACACTTAGGTCACACTACACATACATGTACACGTTTATTTATATGCACTCGTCTGAGTTTTTGATTTTATCTTAACAGTTCTTGTTCTTATTATGTTTCCTTTCATATCCATGGGGAAGTGGAATAAGAATCTTTCCTCCGTAAGACATGCGTGTTGTAAAAGTCAACTAAAATGCCGGGAACAATGGGCTAGTAACCCCTTTTCCTGTATAACCTACCGAAAAGAAAAAGAAGAAAATTATCAAAGTGGAATGCTTGAATGTCCACAATCATCTCTTTCTTATCATTTGCACAACTTCCACGCACATTCAAAGCAAGATTTTTTTTTAAATCTTGCTCTGAATGTGCGTGGATGTTGTGCGAATGATAAGAAAGAGATGATTGTGGATGTTATGAATGAGAAGAAGCTGGATGTCCTGGCTTTAAGTGAAACAAAGCTGAAGGGGTTGGAAGAGTTTCAGTGGGGAGAAATAAATGGGATGAGGTCAGGGGTTTCGAATAGAGTTAGAGCTAAAGAAGGAGTAACATTAATGTTGAAGGATAAACTATGGCAGGAAAAGAGGGAGTATAAACGTATTAATTCAAGGATTATGTAGAGTAAAATAAAGGTTAGATGTGAAAAGTGGGTTATAGTAAGCGTATATGCACCTGGAGAAGAGACAAGTATAGAGGAGAGAGAGAGATTTTGGGAAATGTTGAATGAATGTGTGGGGAGTTTTGAACCAAGTGTGAGAGTACTTGTGGTTGGGGGTTTCAATGCTAAAGTGGGTAAAAATGTTGTGGAGGGAGTAGTAGGGAAATTTGGGGTGCCAGGGGTAAATGAAAATGGGGAGCCTTTAATTGAGCTATGTTTAGAAAGAGGTTTGGTAATAAGTAATACATATTTTATGAAAAAGAGGATAAATAAATATACAAGGTATGATACACCACGTAATGAGAGTAGTTTGTTAGATTATGTATTGGTTGATAAAAGGTTGATGGGTAGGCTCCAGGATGTACATGTTTATAGAGGGGCAACCGATATATCGTATCATTATTTAGTTGTAGCTACAGTTAGAGCAAGAGGTAGATGGGACGAAAGGAAAATGGAAACAAGAAGAGAGAGGTGAAAGTGTATAAACTAAGGGGGGAGGAAGTTCGGGTGAGATATAAGCAACTATTGGCAGAAAGGAGGGCTAGTGCAAGTATGAGTAGTGGGGAGGTTGAAGAGGGTTGGAATAGTTTTAAAAATGCAGTATTAGAATGTGGGGCAGAAGTTTGTGGCAATAGGAGGGTGGGGGCAGGAGGAAAGAGGAGTGATTGGTGGAATGATGAAGTAAAGGGTATGATAAAAGAGAAAAAGGTAGCTTACGAGATGTTTTTATAACGCAGAAGTGTTATTAGAAGAGCAGAGTTTATGAAGAGTAAAAGAAAGGTGAAGAGAGTGGTGAAAAAGTGGTTGGTATTTTTGTTTAATAAATGTATTAAAGAGGGGAGGGTACCTAGGGATTGGCAGATAGCATGTATACTAGTTCCTTTATATAAAGGGAAGGGGGACAAAAGAGATTGCAAAAATTTTAGGGGAAAAAGTTGACTGAGTATACCAGGAAAAGTGTATGCTAGAGTTATTATTGAAAGAATTAGAGGTAAGACAAAATGTAGGATTACGGATGAGCAAGGAGGTTTTAAAGTTGGTAGGGAGCAATGTGGCAGATGTTGCAGGTATTTGGAATAGATAGTAAGCTACTAAATGCTGGAAAGAGTTTTTATGAGGATAGTGAGGCTCAGGTTAGGGTGTGTAGAATAGAGGGAGACTACTTCCCGGTAAAAGTAGGTCTTAGACAGGGATGTGTAATGTCACCATGGTTCTTTAATATATTTATAGATGGGGTTGTAAAAGAAATAAATGCTAGGATGTTGGGGAGAGGGTTGGAATTAAATTATGGGGAATCAAATACAAAATGGGAGTTTACACAGTTGCTTTTTCCTGATGATACTGTGCTTTTGGGAGTTTCTAAAGAAAAGTTGCATAGGTTAGTGGATGAGTTTGGGAGTGTGTGTGTAAAGGTAGAAAGTTGAAAGTGAACATAGAAAAGAGTAAGGTGATGAGAGTATTAAGTGATTTAGATAAAGAAAAATTGGTTATCACATTGGCGAGAAGCAGTATGGAAGAAATGACTGTTTTCAGATATTTGGGAGTTGACGTGTCAGCAGATGGATTTATGAAGTTAACCATAGAACTGATGTCGGAAAAAAGGTGAGTGGTGCGTTGAGGTAAATGTGGAGACAAAAAACGTTATCTATGGAGGCAAAGAAGGAAATGTGTGAAAGTATAGTGATACCAACACTCTTATATGGGTGTGAAGCTTGGGTTGTAAATGCTGCAGCGAGGAGGCGGTTGGAGGCAGTGGAGATTTCCTGTCTAAGGGTAATGTGTGGTGTAAATATTATGCAGAAAATTCGGAGTGTAGAAATTAGGAGGTGTTGAATTAATAAAAGTATTAGTCAGAGGGCTGGAGAGTGGTTGTTGAGGTGGTTTGGTCATCTAGAGGGAATTGAGAGCATATAACTCTGTAGGGGGAGGGAGGTGGGGTAGGGGTCATCCTCGAAAAGGTTGGAGGGAGGGGGTAAAGGAGGTTTTTTTTTTTTTGTCGAGGTGCTTGAACTCTCAGCAAGCGTGCATGAGCGTGTTAGATAGGAGTGAATGGAGACGAATGGTTTTTGGGACCTGACGATCTGTTGGAGTGTGAGCAGGTTAATATTTAGTGAAGGAATTCAGAGAAACCGGTTATTTTTATATAGCCGGACTTGAGTCCTGGAAATGGGAAGTACAATGCCTGCACTTTAAAGGAGGGGTTTGGGATATTGGCAGTTTGGAGGGATATGTTGTGTATCTTTATACGTATATGCTTCTAAACTGATGTATTCTTTGCACCTCTGCAAAAACAGTGATAATGTATGACTGAGGTGAAAGTGTAGAATGATGAAAGTATTTTCTTTTTGGAGATTTTCCTTCTTTCTGTGTCACCCTGCCTCGGTGGCAGACGGCCAACTTGTTGAAATATATATATATATATATACAGTGGACCCTCGAATTTAGTCGTGCCTTTTCTGCACGCGAAACTATTTTTATTATCTATAAAATGTATTTTTTGTTAATATTTCCCATAGGAAATAATGTAAAGCCAATTAAACCATTCCAGACACCCAAAAATATTAACAAAAAATACATTTTATTGATAATAAAAATAGTTTTGCATACAGAAAAGGCAAGATTAAATTCGAGGGTTCACTGCTAATATATATATATTATTATATATTTTTATATATATTATATATTATATATATATATATATATATATATATATATATATATATTATATATATATATATATATATATATATATATATATATATGCAATAAGATCACAGTAAACAGGTGATATCAAAATATGCAAAACAACCACTCTGAAAGAATAGAGAAATTCCAAGCGCTTTCGTGACTACTCACATTATCAAGGAACTATGGTTCCTTGATAATGTGAGTAGTCACGAAAGCGCTT